ATCCAGGTGCAGGCCCCTCGGGGCAGCTGGCAGAGATGAGGCGGAAGTAGGGCAGGGCCCACAAACCCAGGTGCTGGGAACTGTCCACATCAAGATTTCTTCCTGCCTCTTCCCTTGAAAAGAAGAAATGAAACGAAAGAGCTTCTCAAGTAGGTGAGAAGGCAATAGCAGTCTGCATGTAAATTCTGGATTTTAAAAACCTACAAACATCAGTATTGAATGAGTCATGAATAACAATTAAGAAATAATTTCAGCGCAGAATGCCAACTTCTGACAGGCATTCTGCATAAATACAAACCCCGTCTGATGAGGAAGGACTCCTCACCCCCAAGCCACTCCTTGCACCTTAGGTAGCTCAGGGGCAGGAACAGGACTCCTTCTTCAATCACTTGCTGCGGCAATAAGCTGTAACCCAAGAAAACTTTAATACCAACTGAAAGTGTAACACTGTCCACAAAGCTCAAGTCTCTCGTTGCTGCACAAGTGTTTTAAGCTGTCCGGTCTCCAGCAGACAAACACAAAGGGTGACTGTGGGTACAAGCTAAGCTGTTCGAGGAGGCCCAGGAGAAGGGAAAACGACTAACTCAGCCATATGACAGCTAGAACAAAGATGTTTCCATCTGAACTTTTGTCTGCCCCCACCTGAGCACAGAAATGTCACCACTTCTTAGTTACCAAATGTTGCCAAACAAGACAAGGTACAATGAGCGAGGGTCATGCCGTGCCGTCCTGTCCTGTCCTGTCCCGTCCCTGAGTTTGTTAGCACCCTATGCTTCCAAAAGCTGTCTAAAATGCAAACATTTGTAGTCATTACTTTCAGAAGATCCTAACTTGGAACAAATACAAGACTTTTGCCAGCTTTTCTAATGGAAGAGTCTTGAGTGAAGAGAAGTAGAAGTGACTTCCCCACCCAATCAGAGAACATATTGCTTTGCACATTTGGGGAAGTGGAGTATCACCACACTTCGATTTCTAAACTTGTAAAACCCAGGTGGCAAATTAGACTCAGATTATATCATAAAACTCTTCGCCTACGAATAACTACTCCAATGAGTTATCTTAAAATTTAAAATATAATCTGCTTTTCAATAAAACTAAAAATAAATGAGGGGTATTAAACATAACTTGTGAAACATTTTAAAGAAAAAGAACTTAAGATTTCCAAAGTCGGTATCTGCTCTTTTATTCTGAGAAAAAATACGTACTAGGGGATACATAAAGGCTATTTTACTGTACACACATGCATTCATTTAGCAATTAAGCTAGTTATTACTTAAACCATTAACCTTTAATTCTTCATGTAAAAATTCTGAGTAGCTTAAGAGGATGTCAGGAAAAAGTACTTTCCCAATTCTAAATATGCCAACTTTGGGCAAATACAAGACGTGATAACTGAAGTGTTCTTAAACTAAGTAACCAAAGAATATAAATGCCCGACATAGATCTTTCTCACCTCGCAATTCCTCTTTCTGAGCCCACCTCAAGCATAAAACTGTCTCCAGTTCACATAGCTTTTCCCAGGTTCTCTACACAGTAGGTTGCTTCATCATTCATGTATTGGCAATTCAGTCTTTTACCCAACTGAAATTAAATACCAACCTTTAAAATCTGATTTCAAAGTGAAATCAAAGGACAGCCGTTTCCTCAGACCTCAAGAGGATGGACCTCAGAAATCAGTGTCAGACCTTACGCACCAAGTGCACGACACTCATCTACCTGAAGGGCCCCGCTGCAGGGGGTTCGGGGTGGAGAGCGAGCCGGCCACCTCACAGGCCATTCGTTCTCTTCTCAGTCGTCAGAAAAGGTCTTCCAGCTGCTGGGCTGGGACTCCCCGAAACCTGCAGCCTGCGCTTTCCTCTGCAGCTGCTGCCTTCCACACCTGTGCTTCCAGAAGCACAAAAACCCTTGAGGCTGTCTGACATAGATACAATACTTCCAAAATCTTTTTTTGTTTTTTCTGGAGACTCCTCTATAAATATGGTCTAAGACTGGTCTAAACAATCATTTTCTCAAATGGATTTAGTCATCTTTAAAGGCCTGTTTCCCAACATCCATTACTTTACTGAGTCCAATTTCAGAATTTAACCCCAAGTTTACTTACTTTTCACACAAGATTAAAAGTTGAGGGGAAGCAGAAATGACAGTTTTATATCTCCACATTAAAATAAAATTTAAGCTAGCTGGCCCTGGAAGATCACTTCTCCAGGGAGGAATTGGTCTCGCCCCTCCTCAACGCACACAGGTGGGCAGGAGGCAACAGCAGCAGAGACTAAGGAAAGAGCGTTGGCACATGGGTGACTAATGCACCATTGTAGTGTTCAGTAAGGGCTCACTCTCTGTACTGCACCCTGAAATCTTTCAATGGGGACTCCCACACTGACTTTGCTACAATGCCGAGTCTTCAATTCAAGAGATGTGGTGCGAGCCTCAACCTGCATTTTAAATTTAAAAACTCTTGTACGTATGCTCCACTTTAAGGAATCTAGGTACAGGTCAAAGGAAATAAAACAGGGGAGAAAGGAGTACTAGACTCCAAAAGAGACTAGGAATGCTCTTCAGGCTTACAGAGTACCCCAAAAAGAAACAGAAAAACACCTCTGGGAATCTAAGAAAAGGCTGGAAAAATTCCAGTCTCTCAACTTCCATTTCTGCTCTAAGAGTTGTCTAACACAGCATACTGCCTCAATTCCAAGACACCTAAATGATGTGGGGAAGAGTGGTGGGAAATGAGCCACCTCCTCAAAGTACACTGTAAGAAGTATGTATTTAGAATTGAAAAATATGAAAAATATGCAACTTCGAATGGAGGAGCTACAATAGGCTTCCCGCAGCAGGACCAGCTGCTGAAGATGGCATCTCCACCTTCCCAGGCCTCCCAAGGTGTACAAGCTCTCAGTGGCATTCTGTATTAAATAAACATGGCGTTAACTTTTTCCATTCCTTTTCCCCCCAAGTATTGATCCTATTTTAGAATTCTATTTTCCTAAACTGAACGCAAGCAAAATTGTTCAAAAACAGTAAGTCTTCGTGTTTGTTAAACATTTACCTACTTAAAAATAAGTCATGTGAACAAAAAATAGTAAGTTTTTTGTTGTTGTTTAATCTTACTTTATTTAGGTCAAGGAACTCTTCAACACAAGTTCACCATTGTTACAATGTCCTATCAGTAGTGGGGGGGGACCTCCTCCTCCAGGGAGGTTCATTATGATTATGCATTGTTTTTCACCTCCTACCCTCCTGTGAGGATTTCACGGAAGGTACTAAACTACTATTTTAACCAAACTATACTATGTGGCTTAATCTAAATACAGTTAAAAACCTACTAGCCACACACAGGAGCATACAAAAACAAACTGCATACAAAAAAAAAAAAAAAAAAAACCATCACCACCACATATTAACCTGGTGAAGGAAATGCATTTAATGCACTTAACAGCTATGCTAAAGGAAGTTTGAAGTTCTCATCTCAAAGGTTTATGGAACAAATATGCCTATACCCTGACTCTTGAGTGATCACCCATTTCCTCCCTAAAACAATGTAAAACAAAAGAAATTTCAGTAACTGTATTTCCCAGGTTCCATGGTATCTCCTAAAAAGCACAAGCAAAATACGGGAGGGCTTAAACAATTCCCAAGTATTTCAAATGTTTCCTTTTCAATAAGTGCTTTGCTTTTCACTGTTCCTCTTCTCTTCGGGCAGTGTATCTTTGTGCAGGAGGAGGAGAGCCAGGAAATGGGGACTACTCCAGAGGCTCAACACCACCATCTTCTTCTCTCCCAAACTCTCGGATATCGAGCTTGGGGACATAATGGCCCACCTGGTTAGACGCACCAGATTGGACCAAGAGGCACTGGTGTCCTTCCCTACTTCACAGTGTGCCAAGAATGTAGCCATCTCCTAACGCTCTGCTTGTTGCTTTTGCTACAGAACCTGGACCAGGATCCAGGCTTAAGTTCAAACGAACTGCGTTAACAGTTACTCCTCAAAATTGACCCAAAGCATGATTCAAACACAGAAGGTGCCCAGTTATCTCTAGCGCTGGAGGAAGCTAGGCTTCAAAAGTTCAGACGTAGTAATTGTTTTAGTATACCTGTAAAAAAAAAAAAAAAAAAAAAAAAAAAAAAAAAGGCAGCACACACCACACACCACACTCTACGTTACCGAATTCAAGGAAGAACGGGATTTCAGCGCCGGCTTGAGGATACCTGACCCAGCAGCGAGGACGAACAGCCGCCTCCAGGCCGCGGGCCCCGTCCTCGGCCACACTGTTACCTGTGTGCTCGGGCTGCAGGTGCGCTTACCATCCCTCCAAACCTGAGGTCCCCCACCGCTAGGTCAATCAAGAGCAGGGGAGAAAAGTTTCTTCCGGAAGGCGCAAAGGAGGAGGTCACCACTTGGATGAATGAACCTGGGCTAAGGACACCGGGAGCAGGGTTGTGGCTGAAGTCAGAACAAGCAGTGAAGACGTTTCGCCGTGAGAGCGGTGAGCGGCCGTGGTCCACACAACTGCACCACACGCTTCGGAGGAGGTTTTATCGAGCGCGGACGGTTCCGGGCGGCTGGCAGGCGCTAGAGGCGGCGGGCGCGGCGGCGGGCGGCGGGCGGCGGCGCCGGACACAAGGCAGCTTCGCGACGACGGGAGCGGGGCCGGGAGCTCGCGCGTGTCCTCCCGCGGACCTTCCACTTGAGCCCGCGGCCCGCCCTGCCCCTGCCCCTGCCCCTGCCCCTGCCCCCCGCCCGCCGGCCGGCCGCGTGCGAGGCACACCCTCCCGCCGCCGCGCTCCCGCGCGGGCACACCCCCACCTCCCGCGCGCACGCGGCCTCGCGGAGCCGGCCGGCCCACGCACGCCCCCCAGTGCGGACGCCCGCGCCCGCCCCCGCCGCCCCCCGCCCCCGCCCGCGGCCCCCTCCCGGCCCTGCGGGAAGGGCGAGGGGCGGCGGCCTAGCGGCCGTGGGGCGCCCGCGCGGGAAGGCGGGTTCCCAGGGCAAGGTCACTCACCCGCTGCATGGCTTTCAGGATCAAAGCCAGCTCGTAGCGGGGCATGCCCGACCGCAGGGCGCGCGGCTGCGGACCGCGCCGGCCGCCGGGACGCTGGGGAGGCGCGCACCGCGGGGACCTGCGCGCTGCTGGGCCGGAAGGCTGCCGGGCGGCGAAAGCACGCTCCGGCCGCGCGAGCCCGGGCTTAAAGGCGCTGGCAGCTGCGCAGACGGCGCGCCACGCCCCCGCGCCACGCCACGCCCCCTTCTTAAGGCGGCCGCGGCCCCTCGACAGCCCCGCTCCCCGCGGCGGGCCGGCCCCAGCGGGAGCGCGGGTCGGGCGCGGCAGCGCGGGGACAGCGCGGGGGGCTCGGCGGGGAGCGGCGCACGGGCGCCCCACACCCCCTCGGGTCTCGCCGCCGCCGCGCCGGCTACCTATGGCTCTGGAACCAGCTGGAACTTTCCATGCCTTCCGTCTCATCCGGGGCGGCGGGCGAGCGTGCGCCCCCGTGTGCGCGTGCGCGGCGCTGCGAGCTCGTCCGCGTGCGCCTCTCGCCCGAGACTCCCCGCCGGGAGGAACCTTCTCCGCGGCCACGCTCCTCCGGGCGGGGTTGCGGCCGGATCGGGGGCTCCCCCGCCCCCGGCTGCGCGCTGAGGTTCCGGAACATTCCCGCTCGGACTGGGCGCCGAAGGCCCCGGGGCTGCCCCGGGCGGCCTGCCGCTCACGCCCCCGTGCACAGCCTGCGTCCTCGCGCGGCCGCACGCAGCTTCCCGGGCCCGTCCCTGGCGCAGTGGGCGTAGGGCTCAGGCTGAGGGCCGCCGCGCGGTACCGGTGGGCCCACCCCGCGCCGGCCGCCTGACCTGTCTGGTCCTGCAGCAGGGGGCCGTGGAGGGCACCCACTTCCCGGGGCAGCGATGCCGGGGCGCGAGCTGATGCGCGTCCCAGGGTGAGAACCAGGCCTGCTCGTGTGCGCCCGGCTCGGCCCGCGTGTTGTTGCCAAGGGCAGGCTAACCCTTGGGCTCAGACCCGTGTTCTGTAACGCTCGGCGTTCTTGGGGGACCAGCTGGGTATTGTAAAGCCATTCCCGTCTGGATCCGAGCGTGCCCCGAAGGGAGAGGAGTCTCCTGCACTGCCCCTGCCCACCGTCCTGCTCGCAGGGCTCACCTGTCCCTCCAGCCGCAGGCATTTGTAGGAAATGCATGTCCTCTAGCTCCACCGTACAGATTGAGGCCCCTAGCACTGTCGCCCCTGCCCTGGCTCTCCTCATTGAAAGGGTGTCTAAGTGAAATGTCTGTCAACTTTAAAGTGCTTTAATGAGCATAGGTAACACGGAGCACTTACTGTGTATCAAGCACCACGCTAAAGCTTTTGCATGTATCTCATAAAATTCTCAGCAGCAGTATGAAGCAAGTAACTTCTTAACCCCACTTTAGGCATTTAGAAATATAGGCACGCAAGGGTGATGTAACTAGACCCAGGTCAAACTTAGTAGAAACAAAATATGGGCCCAGACTATATGAAGGCTGAGGCCACACTTGGTGCAGCCTCGGGGTCTCCTACCACACAGTTTATTTTTTCATCCTCACCTGAGGACATTTTTCCATTTTTTGTACAGATAGAGTGGGAGGGAGGGAGGGTGAGAGAGAGAGAGAGAGAGACATCGATGTGAAAGGGACACATCGAGTGGCTGCCACCCGCACGACCAACCAGGGCCAGGGACAAACTGCAACCGAGGTACGTGCCCTTAGCGGGAACGGAACCCGGGTCTCTCCGGACCACAGGTGGACGCTCTAACCGCTGAGCCAAACCGGCCAGGGCTTACCACACAGTTTAAAGTATTGATGTTATTGAGTGGACTTCCTTATAAAACAATAGAGTCCCCTTTGTCACCTTATCCCGAGACCTCACTATTTCTTATCTACTTTCCAGCCCCGACAAAAGGTAAGGATGGTTTGAACACAACCTTTTCTGTGATACCTGGCTTTTAATATTTTCTAACCTTAGACTTCTCCATAACCTATTCTTCCAAAAAGAAACCTCACAGGTATTAATACAAGTTACATGGTTAGTGTAGACTAATTGGACCCTTCGTTAAAAAGAGCAGCATACTAGCCCTGGCCAGTTTGGCTCAGTGATTAGAGTGTTGGCTGGCAGACCTAAGCGGTTCAGGTTCGATTTCCAGTCAAGGGCATATACATGGGTTGCAGGTTTGATCCCTGGTCCCTGTTGGAGTTGTACAGGAGGCAACCAATTCATGTGTCTCTCTCACATCAATGTTTCTATCTCTCCCTCCCTCCCTTCCACTCTATCTAAAAATCAATGGGAAAATATCCTCTGGTGAGAATTAACAACAAAAACTACTATAAATAACTAGAAGTAAGTAAGGTATTTCTGGACCATGGAAAGTGAGTTACAGGGTTTCCAAAATGGTCCCTATTTCAACTCCCTCGTGTTATCGACCATGTACTGTTTGGGAATGAGAAAATATGGACCGGGAAGTGATATGCCAAGCTGAAGACAGGACTGACATCAGCTTTTAGCATTTTCTCTTGAAGCTCCACAGTTTTTCCCTAATTCCCATGGATGAGTGAGGATCTGACTTTTCTCCCTTACTCCCTCTAACCTGACAAGTTTCATAAGGAAGTTAGCATGCTTGCAATGCCTCCACACCCCTAGGCTCCCAATCTGGTGGGTACCAGCTCATTCCATTTCTTCTGAAAGGGAGAGAGAGGGCAGCTACTCTGATTTGCCCCCTTTGACATTTCTTTATAGAGCACAGCCCCAGAATGCTGGTGGGGTCATTAAAAGTCAGTAATAAAATCACAAGGAATGCTGCTGCAAAATCAGTGTCTTCCTACTGTAACCACAAACTTAACTTCACCAAAAAGATGTTTAAATTTTATACAATGCATACTCGGCATTTAGAAATATAAAACATCACTGCAGTATTTAATGTGTTAATTTTTAAAAGTATTCTGATACTTAGGAATAAGCTAACCAAGACTTATTTTCAGTGAAAGATCTGTACACTAAAAACTGTAAAACATTGTTGAAAGATATTAAAGCAGACACAAATAAATGGAAAGATATCCCGTGTTCATGGATTAAAAGAATTAGTATTGTTAAGATACCCATACTACCCAAAAATCTACAGATCCAATGCAATTCCTATCAAAATCCCAATGGTATATTTTACATAAATGGAAAAAAGTCATAAAATTCATATGGAACCGCAAAAGACCCTGAAGCGCCAAAGCAATTTTGAGTGAGAAGAATAAAGCTGGAGGCATCACACTTCTGATTTCAAACTATATTACAAAGCCATAGTAATCAAAACAGCATGGTACTGGCATAAAAATAGACCTATAGACCAATGGAACAGAATAGAGAGCCCAGGAATAAACTCATGCATGCAAAGATCATGTCAACTGATCTTTGACAAGGTTGTCAAGAATACACAATGGATAGTCTCTTCAACAAATGGTGTTGGGAAAACTGGACAGCCACATGCAAAAGAATGAAACTGGCCCTGACTGGTTTGGCTCAGCAGTTAGAGCATCAGCCTGCAGACCAAAGGGTCTCGGGTTTGATTCCTGGTCAAGGGCACATGACTGAGTCTCTTTCACATTGATGTTTCTCACTCTCTCTCTCTCTCTCCCTCCCTTCCACTCTATCTAAAAACAACAACAACAAACTTCACTTTAGGCCCTGGCTGGGTAGCTCAGGTGGTCAGAGCATCGTCCCGATATGCTAAGGTTTCGGGTTTGATCCCTAGTCATGGCACATATAAGAATCAACCAAATAAGTGGAACAACAAATCAATGTCTCTCTCTCTCTCTCTCTCTCTCCCTCTCCCTCTCCCTCTCCCTCTCTCTCTCTCTCTCAAAATCAGTCAATTGAGAAAATAAAAATGAAACTGGACCTTTTTCTTATACCACAGAAAAAAATAAACTCAAAATGGATTAAAAACTTACACATAAGACCTGAAACCACAAAATTCCTGGGCGAGGGTGGGGAGGAGGCAGGACAGGGAATGGGAAAAGCTTCTTCACATTGGCCTGGAAAACAATGTTTTGGATATGACACCAGGAGCATAGGGCAGCAAAAGCAAAAATAGAAAAGTGGGACTGCATCAAACTCAAAATCTTCCGCACAGCAGTGGAAATAATCAACACAATGAAAAGGCAACCTACAGAATGGGAGGAAATATTTGCACACCATATATCTGATAAGGGATTAATATCCAAAATATATGAAGAACTCAAACAATTGGCTAGCTAAATAAATAAATAACCTGATTTTAAAATGGGCAAAAGAACTGGATTTCTCCAAAGAAGGTAAAGGTGCTCAACATCACTAATCATCTGGGAAACACAAATTAAACCGCAATAATATATCATCTCACACCTGTTAGGGGAGCCATTACCAAAAAGTCAAGAAATATAAGTGTTGGGGAGGATGTGAAGAAAAGGAGCCCTCGTGCATTGTTGCTGGAAATGTAAATTAGTACAACCGCAATATTTTTAATTTTTAAAAAGTTAAAAATCCAACTACCTTATGATCCAGCAATTCCACTTCTAGTTACATATCCAAAAGAGCTGGACTCCAGATCTCAAAGTGGTCATCTGCACTCCCATGTTCATTGAAGCAGTATTCATAACGGCCAAGATATGAAAGCTATGTAAATGTTCACGGGTGAATAAAGAAAATCAATTATAAAAATGTGGCACAACAGAATATTATTCAGCCTTTAAAAAGAAGGCAACCTTGCCATTTGTGACAACATGGATAAACCTGGAGGACATTGTGTAAGTGAAATGAGCCAGATACAGAAGGACACTTATATAACATACATATTATGCTTATATATGACATATATGTATATGTATGTATATACATATATCCACTTATATGAGGCGTCTCAAGTAGTCAAACTCACAGAAGCAGGAAGTAGAATGAGTGGTGGTTGGCAGGAGCTAGAGGAAGAGGAAATGGGGAGGTGTTGGTCGCAGAGTACAAAGTCTCAGTGATACGTGAAGAAAATTACTCTGTAACTTCAGCTCTCCAAAACATTCGATATGGTTATGTTTAAAATT